ATTTATTTATTTTTTGAGACATGGTTTGACTCCGGTAGCCCGGGCTGGAGTGCAGTGAAGCAATCTCAGCTCACTGCAGCCTCGACCTCCTGGACTCAAGTGATCCTCTTATCTCAGACTCCAAAGTAGCTGAGACTACAGGCTCCTGCCACCACGGCTGGCAAATTTTTTTTTTTTTTTTTTTTTCAGAGAGAGAGGGTTTCACCATATTGCTCAGGCTGGTCTGGAACTCCTGGGTTTGAGCGATCTGCCTGCCTCAGCTTCCCAAAGTGTTGGAATTACAGGCATAAGCCCCCACACCCAGCCTGACTCTCAAATTTATATCACTAGCTAGAGCTCTCCTCCCAACTCCAGACTTAAAAGAACTGAAAGTAGAATTACCGTGCAATTGGGCAATCCCGCTTCAGGGTAGATACACAAAATAATTGAAAGCAAGATCAATCCCAAATGTCCATCAACAAACAGATAAAGAAAATGTGGTATACAAATACAATGGGGCCAGGCGCAGTGGCTCATGCCTATAATCCTAGCACTTTAGGAGGCTGAAGTGGGTGGATAACTTGAGGTCAGGAGTTCAAGACCAGCCTGATCAACATGGTGAAACCCCATCTCTACTAAAAATAAAACAACAGCAACAAAAAATTAGCCAGGCATGGTAGCGCACACCTGTAATCCCAGCTATTTTGGAGGCTGAGACAGGAGAGTCTCTTGAACCTGGGAGACGGAGGTTGCAGTGAGCCAAGATCATGCCATTGCACTCCAGCCTGGGAAACAAGAGCAAAAACTCCGTCTCAAAATAAATACATACATACATACAATGGAATATTAGCCCTAAAAAAAAGGAAACTCTGACACATGCTACAACATGGATGAATCTGGAGGACACCGTGCTAAGTGAGATAAGCCAGCCACAAAAAGGCAAATTCTGACTATTTATATGAGGTATAGTACTCGAACTCCCATTAGAAGAACGTAGAGTGGTAGAATGGTTTTTATTGGGGTTAGAGAGAAGAGAAATGATTTTTTTGTGTGTGTGGGTATACAATGTCAATTTTTTAAGACGAAAAATTTCTTTCTTTCTTTCATTTTTGTAGAGATTGGGTTCCCCCATGTTTCCCAGGCTTGGTCTTGAACTCCTGGGCTCGAGCAATCCACTTGCCTCAGCTTCCCAAATAACCAGAATTACAGGCATTGGATACCACCCCCAGCCTTGATGAAAAATTTCTGAAGATTCACAATAATGCGAATATATTTAACACCACTGCACTGTACACTTAGAAATGATTAAGATGGGCCAGGCCCAGTGGCTCATGTCTGTAATCCCGGCACTTTGGGAGGCCAAGGTGGGTGGATCACGTAAGGTCAGGAGTTCGAGAGCGGCCTGCCCAATATGGTGAAACCCCATCTCCACTAAAAATACAAAAATTATCTGGGTGTGGTGGCGTGCACCTGTAGTCCTAGCTACTCGGGAGGCTGAGGCAGAAGAATCGCTTGAACCAGGAGGCAGAGGTTGCAGTGAGCCGAGATTGCGCCACTGTACTCCAGTCTGGGCGATAGAGTGAAACTCTGTCCAAAAAAAAAAAAAAAAGAACTGATTAAGATGGTATAATACATTTTAGGTTCTACTGATTTTACCGTAATTTAAAACATTTTTTAAAAATAATATTTCTTTTGCTTTCTTTGGCTTTTTCTTTTGGTGCTTGGAAATGAGCATTGATGTTGCTGATTGTGCAGTCAACAGTTATAGATTCACCTCTTAATGAATGGCAAAGTCTTCGTAGAGGTTAAGGTTGACTATGGAAGAAAGATAAGTTGTACAGCACAGGCATGGTATTCTCCTGGGAAAAGGAGTCCTTCCTAGGCTCACAGCACTGTGCACCATGTACAGAGCAAACACGCATTTTGGGGAAATGCCCTCATACTATGAATGAATTCAAAGTTAGTATGGGGTAGGATCTAAATCTTGTGATCTCTTTCTTCTAAAGGACTACCTTTCATCAGGTTTTAAAAATTACTCCTCTAGTTTCTGTAGTATGAGTTTTTTCATTCTAGAATGTGAAAATACTGCCAACAATAACCTAAGGACAGCCCATATTCACAGCGACAAGAAGTTCAGTGTTGGCTATAAGCTCGGTCATGCTATGGGCAGAAGGCCTTCTCTAAAGCTAGGTCTGCTTTGTGTCAAGCATTTCAAGCATGACTTGCTTGTTTCATCTGCCCCATTTATATTCCTTGTACCTAGAAACGAATGTGATAAAAGTTTTGGTGCCTACAGGAACTATATTTACCCAGTTCATGTTGGCTTCCCGCTCAGAGGGAAGTCTGATTGCCTTCCTGCACTTGAGAAGTTTAGAGAATGTGCCAGTGAATGTGCACACTCACAAGGTGTGTGTGTATCAGTGTCAATACCCAACAATTGAGCCTACTATTTGCTTGGGCAAAGAATCAACACCATTTTCTCTTGAGCTTCTAATACGTGTGAAATATTTGAAGATTTCAATATTGTGTACAAAGAACTAGTAGATGTGAGAATTGTGACAAAATATCATGAGAACACAAACAGAGTAGAGCAGATGAGTGGGCTACTTCCAAGACTGGTTCTGGGGGCAGAAAACGAGACCAGGCATAAGACTCCAGGTGTGAGCCAGACGTCGCCCGGTAGTCTCTCGGATTTTTTTTTTTTTTTTTTTTTTTTGAGACGGAGTCGTTGCTCTTGTCCGCGGCTGGAGTGCAGTGCGCGGATTCCCGGCTCTCTGCAAGCTCTGGCCTCCCGGGTCATGCCATTCTCCTGCCTCAGCAACTCCCGAGTAAGGGGTGATACATTGACCAGCCACCACGCGCGGCCCGGTAATG